TTATGCCACAAGCCTGCCCTTCTCAATAGGTTGTAGATACCTCACCAGTGGCCTCATGTGTCTTCAGCCCTGCATCTGGGGTGTTTATCTTGCGTCAGCCTCCACTTTTTTACCATGTCAGGATCAATGCACCACTAGAAATGGAGATAGAGTTAACATAGTCAAACAAACCCTTCCTGGTCTGGGTCCCACTCTTACCAATTCAATTTCTCTTGATTTTTAGCTTCAGCTCCCATGAAAGATGACGGAAAGGCAAAGATGAGGCACATGGACCTGCTGCCCAGCACTCCTCTTGTACGGTGGATTCTCGCCCTTAGCTTCATAGTGACAACAGTGGCTGTGGGCTTCTTTGCCATGTGAATAGATGGCACTCTAGACCTCACCCTCTGGCTGCTCCCCATATCCTACAAAATAACATGTCCTACCCAGTTTATAAGAGAAATTCCCCTCTCTGAACACTGTGATCTTAGCTGTGCCACTAACTTTAGAGTACTCTCCCAAAAGACTCAGAGAACTTGAAGGGGTCTGCATGAAATCTCTCCCATGTGTGCTGAGAGCATTTCTGCATTGAGACACTGAACTCCTCACCAAAGAGGCATTGACCAGGATCTGCCACTGCTTCAAACTGTTCCTGCAAAGAGTCCTAGGTAAAGCATGGGCTGGCATGTTCCCTGCCATCCAAGAAGTAAACTTAACTGGAGCTTTTGTTTGCTTGATGTTTTGTAATGCTGGCCGCTACTGTTACAATTGCTTCTGTGAATTAATAAGGCTCCCCTAGAATTATAGACTGTTTTATATGACACTATCAGCTCTTTGGCATATATTTGTTTGGGTTTTTTTTACAATCATGACTCTTTGTTTATTTGGATTTTTTTTACAATCACAAATCACAGATCACTTTGGTTTTTAAACAGCAGAATGCAGTTGTTGAAGGTATTGTGTTGTCCATGTCCTTGTGTTTTGTCTGTATAATTTATTCATACAATAAACCTCCACGGCAAATGACTGCTTTGTTTCCTTGTGTTAATGACTTACCTGAGGGAGGAAGAAAGTGCCTTTTTCTTGTTGTATTAAATAAGTCTTTGAGAGGGGTTGACTCAACTCACCTGATGAAACACAGAAATGGGAGTTAGCAGAGCTGGGCTCTGTTCCCAGCTGTAACACTAACTTGCTGTTGTGTGACTTCAGGCAAGTCTCTCTAGAGACCCTCTATGCCAGTGATTCTCAAGGTTGTAGCTGCAATAGTAGTATTGTTAGATGTGCATACATCTATGCACGATTCACAAGATAAACCCAGAGATTTTAGATAGTGTCAAAAAACATTCTGACCTGTTGTCATCTAAGTTCTTTGCAACAGGTTCTATTATTTTTGTAGTAAAAAAAGGTGAAAGCTAAGAGCTGGCACTTTCGGGGGGGGGTCTTGTGTCTCAAAAAGGTTGAGAACTACTGTCCTACACCATGGTTTCTCCATATATAAAATGGAGATAATTTAAGAACCATGTGCAAAGCATTTGAAATCTAAGAAGGGACAGCTTTAAAGCTAGGTACGTGACTTTTTTCCACTAAAGAGAGATAGGTGGTGAGCCAAACTCCCTCAACACTGTGCAAGCCAGATCCTAAGCTGCTACAAACTGGCAATGCTCCTTCTGATGCAGTCACTGAGAGCCTAGCCCCATTAAGCTCTTAAAAGTGCCTTGCTAAGAACTTCACTTGATTAGAAATACATTATTAAAGAAAAAAGTTAAATTCATGCTAACACCAAACTAGCAACTGATTGTGTACTACAGAACAACATGGCAGAACAACAGAAGAACATGAACAACAGAACAAAAACACCATGCAACCACATGACCCACCCTACTTACCATGGAAGCCAACACCGATTATTAATGACATGATCTTGTCCAGTGACAAAATTTGGTGCCTAGTGTGGATAGCTGAGGACAGCACCAGTAACCAGTTTTGCTAGAGTAGCAAGTATGAAAAGGATTCCCTTTCCCTGACTGAAATCTGGATGCCTGACTAGGCGGCCAGCTGCTACTCTGGCTGCAGGCTATAATCACTTCAGGCTTAATTTTATAAACAAGTGATTGTGGAAGATGCTCTTGCAGATATGTCAAAGCAGAGGTGTTGGCAAGGTCTTCTTCCTGCTTCAGGGCCCCTCCTACTTGATCACCTCTCCAGTCCTCCTGAGGTTGCCTTTTCCAGTTGCCTCCTTAGTCCCTATAGACAAGTATTCATAGCTGACATGTCTGGTGATTGCTGGCTCCTGATCTTGTCAAATGCCAACAGCTATCACAGAAGGGAGGTCTTACGGGGAGCAATACTGGGGAGAGCTGTCTGCTGATGACTGGCTCCAAACTAAAGTTCGAACCTACCCTGCCTCCCCACACCCTTCCTTGATATCCAGACCAGGACAGCCTACTTGGAACTGAACAAGTTTTGGAAAAAGCTTGTTACTGAAAATTGCTTATTTCCCTAAAGTTTGAAAAGCAGGAAATTTAGACCAAACTCATATTTAGTCGTTCACAATTCATTTGCGTTCCAGTCATCATCCCTCTCAGTCCAACAATCCTAAGAACTTCCCTCTAAGTACAATAATAAACTGCTATATGAATTCAACACGGCAAACAGAATGCTTCCACAAGCTAGCCACCCAAGTCTCCCTAAGTAAACAACATATTCTACCCCATCTCCCACTCATTCCTTCACTCCTGGACACACTGGTGTCTTGGTCGAGATGCCAGAGTTCTTCTGCAGCAAGTGGCTGACATTACTGAAGTGGTCCTTCATGAGAGGCAGTTTAGAGGGCACCCAAGGAACAAGACAAATACATGAAAAAAACAAGTGGCCAACCATGCAACTCTGGGCTTTCATCCTCATTGTTTAATCTCCATATCAATGTACATCCACTTATAAAAGGTTATTTATGAATAATACGACAATATCTGCTTCAGAATTGAAGTGTAGTCATTTGCTGACCTAGATACTACTCCGAGCGTTGACCTGGCCAATCTGCATCATAAATATTGTAGCGGGTGGCGTCTTCAATTAAGGGCAACCAAAATAGTGAGGTGTATATTCCATCTTCATGGTGCTCCTGCCACCCACGAACCTAGCACGCTACTTAATGCATAATACCTGAAACTTAAGTCACATCTAGTGTATGAGTGTGTGACCCTGGACTGGCCTCTGAGTTTTCAGAAATATTTAAAAACGTCAGGACAAATATTTAAAAATTTAAAACAATGTCAGGACAAATAATAATCTTTTAGACAAATGGCTTAACATGGGCAATTAGTACATACACCTTTTAGATGTTCACATTTGCCATCTGCTATTCAGCCACAGAACACAAGATTCCAGGTTGGTGCTGTTTCATTTTTAGTGTTGATATCCAAGTGCACATGACTGTGTTGTTTCAGATCCCTGAGGGCCCATGTGTCCATCATAGCTGCCAGTGCTTAGCAACACAGCGCCACCCCACGGTTGTCATAAGCAATCTACTCCGGAGCTGGTAGAAATGATCTGTTCCAGCACCAAATAGCTATTGTACACTGACCTCTTCAATCCACCTACAGCTCACCTGTTATCAAGATGCCCTCGGTGCTTCCAGCATATATATCCGGAATCACACTAGGAAGAACGGTTTTCATCAGTGATAACAAAATAGTTGGCTATCATCAACCCTCTTGCTCATCCACCTGTTTTCAACCCTTGTGCTGTATATGGGCTCTGCCAAATAGGCTTTGGATTGGCTCAAGTGGCTATGCAGCCAGGCTTCACAGATGCGGAGAGCATAAAAACTCAAGCTGCAGTCATGGCCAAACACAGAAAATGGTGCATTGTTGATGAGTGCCCTGCACCCAGATCCAAAAGACACTAAATACAGCAAACAAAGAAGCAGCTGCAGAAAGATGTGTGTTCCCCCAAAAAGGAGACGGCATCTTTTCTATGGCAATCCTCGTGTTACCAATAGAAGGCCTAACCCAAAGCCCCATGAATTAAGCAAGGTCAGGCTGAGCGCTAACTTCTCAGATTTTGGGCTAGTCCCGTAGAGAAGCTGAACGACCTCTCACGTCAAGACGATCCTGCAACCACTTAGGACTCAGGAGTTGCTGGCTTCCAGGGGAGACATTTAGCCAGTTGGACTGTGACACTTTGAGTCATAAACTATGAGGGTTGGCAGGGACCTCAGGAGGTCATCTAGTCCAACCCCCTGCTCACAGCAGGACCAGCCCCAACTAGATCATCCCAGCCAAGGCTTTGTCTAGCTGGGTCTTAACAACCTCCAAGGATGGAGACTCTACCACCGCTCTGGGTAACCTGTGCCAGTGTTTTACTGCCCGCCTGGTGAGAGAGGTTTTCCTGCTATCTAACCTAAACCTCCCTTGCTGCAACTTGAGACTATTGCTCCTTCTGAGGGTTTATTTAACTCCTCATTTTGTCTTGTAGGTCATATACCCAAGTTGGCAACAAAAATAAATACATAAAAATAAATAATAATAATAATAATAATATAGTTTTGGGGTGAAAGGGGCCCCGGAGGTGTGGAGGGGAGGGGAGGTGGGGCTGAGCCTGAGCCTGCTTGTCCTGCATGCTCCCAGCTCAAGGTTTCTTTTTGATGTGACCCCACTCATTGCTGAGGAGGCAGGTCAGCGTAATTAACTGGGACGTGTAAGAATGGGCCATACTGGCCCAGTATGGACTGGGGGGGGTCCCCAGCAAGGGGGCAGGTAAGGCAGCCCCACCGCGCCAGTCACACGCAGCCTCTCTGGGCACTGCCACAGAGCTGGCTGGCTCCCCACCTCCCCCCGAACAAAATGGTTCCGTCCAGGTAACTGCCTCCCTCCTCCCCCCATATGCCCACTCAGAATGGTTTCGTCCAGCCGCCATCTTACGCCCATGCTCTCCCCCCTTCCCCTCGCGCCTTTCGCGCCAAACTGCTCCGGGCCCCAGCTAGGGGAGGGCAGAGGGGCGGGGGTCTCAACGTCTCCACCAATCCGCTCTCACCACCATGGCAACCCAGCCGCGCGCTTCCTGTGCGGAAAGGGATGGAAGGAACCTGGCTGGGCCAATCAGAGGGGGCGGGCGAGTGTCTGGCCAATAGGGGCTTGGGCCGTAGACCGTCCCATTGTGACGTCCCTTCGGTTTTGCCGCGAAAACTCGGTGCTCGCAGCGGGTCGGTTCCTGGGGGCGAGCGGAGGTGTGGGTGGGCGCCGCTCCGGGGATAGGGGCCGGTCCGGGATAGGGGCCCCGTCCTCCTTAACCCGGGACAGCGAGGCTGTGTGCGGGGCTTGGCGCGAGCGCGTGACAGGCACCGCAGGATGCCGAGCTAATGGTCCCCTCTCTCCGCCCGGCGCTCAGGAGCAGCCTCCACCATGTCCGGCTTCGACGACCCCGGCATCTACTACAGCGACAGCTTTGGGGGCGACCCGGCGGCGGACGAGGGGCAGGTCCGCAAGTCCCAGCTGCAGAAGCGCTTCAAGGAGTTCCTGCGGCAGTACCGCGTGGGCACGGACCGCACCGGCTTCACCTTCAAGTACAGGTGCGGGCGGCCCCCACCTCTGAGGGCCCCTCTGGCCCATTCCCGCTCTGCCACTGTTCGCTTTCCTCCTGCTGAGCGCTTCCGCGGGCCACGGCTAGCTCTTCGGGAGCCCTCTCGTCCACCACTTCTAAAGAGCTCTTTGCAGGAGAACGAATACCTTTATCCTTGTCGGGACCCAGGTGGAAGCTGAAGCCTGGAGAGGCCCACCACTTTGCCAGGGACCAGGTGTCAAGCTAGTGGCGGAGCCAGGGATAGAGCCCGGTTCTTCCCATCTGGATCCGCTTCCCCCCCCCCCCTTTGGACGATCCTTACAAACCTGGGACCCATGCTCCTGTCCCTCTAGTTGTCCCATGCGATCAATTGCCTCTAGTGGCCTCCCTGATTAAGGGAGGCTTAGAGTTGCCTTGTGGGCCTAGGGCCACATTTCCCTTGACATAGCAAATTAACCTGTCTGGTACCCCATCCCCTGGGTTATGCTGTTTCCCAAGGGCCCGCCCTGCAAAATCGGGTCTAGATCTGAATGCCAAGTTTCAGACCTGTCATCCCTGGGGTTCTGTTCAGTTCTGTCTCTAGTATAAATCAGTTGTGGGTTTCCAGCCCATGCCTTTTGGGATCTGTGAACAGGTAGTCCCAGAGCAGTGGCCGCATGCGAAGGGGTGACACAGGATTGTGGATGGTAGTGGCAGCCACCACGTGCAAGCTTCCCCCTCTGCTGCTCTGGGACCGGCAGCTGCTACTCTCCGATGGAGTGGAGTTTTAAGAAGTGCCGGATTTCAAGTTCTGGATTTTTGATATCCGGGTTTATGAGGTTATACTGTAGTTTGTACTTAAACTGTCGGGCTGTGGTTGGTGTGATGCTGGTGCACATTAATGTTAAACTCTGATAACCACTATGGCCACAGCTGCCCCTTGTCCAATGCCATTTGTGCATAAGGATCCATATTGAAAAAGTATTAGCATGGATGTTACCTCTGTCCAGCAGTTTCCGTTCCTTTTGCTTCCATCATAGAGGGCTTGTTACTTTTCCTGCCATAAAAGACTACCTGTAGAGCAGGGGTGCCAAACTTATCCAGCCCTACAGGCCACATAAGTGGCACATACCCACCCACAGGCCAGATAGGGCCCATGGGTCCCTCTTCCTTTCCCTTTCCCCAGCATACTGATCCAGCAGCTGTTCCACACAGTCTGGGACCTAGGCTGTGTGCGCTGCATGCAGTATCCATTACAGCCACTCTGGGATTTTCCCCGTGTGCAGTGCAGGTCCCAGATTGGCTGGGGCAGCCACTCTCTCAGGTATGCTAAGGGAGGGAGGGGATGGGAGTCCACGGGCAGGACTCGGCCTGAAGACCAGCCCCATACCACAGGCATACACAGTGCCCCATGTGAGTCTAATTCAGGGGCAGGCAATTATTTTGGTCAGAGGGCCGCTTACTGAGTTTTGGCAAGCCATCAAGGGCCGCATGACATGCAGTTGGGGGCAGATAAATATTAATTTTCAAAATTTTTTAGGGGCCCCGTGGACTGGATAGAATGACCTGGCAGGCTGCATTTTGCCCACCCCTGGTTTAATTGGACCCAGGGGCTAGATGGCAGGGCACCATGAGCTGGATTCAATCCATAGGCTGTATGTTTGACACCCTTGCTTTAGAGCGTTTCGCATCTGCTTTCTACATAGCTGGAGGGCCACTTTGAATGTTTTGTGTGATAGTTTCTCTTCTGTTACAGTTCCCTACCTCTGGGCTTGCCAAGTTGCAGGCCTTTAAGAAAATTTTCTTGGTGCTTTTTTGCCTACAAATCCTTACTCCTACCTCATCTTGCAGGGATGAGCTCAAACGGCATTACAACCTGGGTCAGTACTGGATTGAGGTGGAGATGGAGGACCTGGCCAGCTTTGATGAGGACCTGGCAGACTACCTGTATAAGCAACCTGCAGAGCATCTACAGCTGGTAAGGATGGGGAATACCGTAGAAGGGAACACACCAAGGACTATTTTATTTAGAGCTAAGAGCTGGTGTGCCACGAGCCATTTAGCTAACCAGAGTGGTATGTCAGTATAAGCTGTATTATTTCCTAAACAGCTGGAAGAAGCAGCAAAAGAAGTGGCTGATGAGGTCACCCGTCCTCGTCCATCAGGAGAGGAGACCCTCCAAGACATCCAGGTCATGCTGAAGTCAGATGCCCATGCTGCCAATATCCGTAGCCTGAAGGTGAGTTAAATCCACCCGCTATGATGAGGTGGGAAGAAGACTAAGAACAGAACTCATCCAAAGTGTGTTTGTGTGTGTTGAGAGAGCTGTTAGTTCTTGCTGAACTTAATCAAGGTTAAGTTCATCTCTGTCCATCTAGACAGAACTGCACCAGATGTGACTGCAAGTTGTGACTTACTATGATTGATGGGACTTGTTAGTGTTAGGGTTACCCCTGAGTGTGGTTTTTGTGCTGCTTTAACTATATTGCTGTGAAACCTATCTAGCTAAAGTAGTACAACCCCTTCATGTGAACAGAGTTAACCCACTAGAAAGTTGCTTATAGTGGTATAGTTTATTCCTCTAACTTTAATGAGTTTTATCGATGCATAGACATCATTACACAATTATAGTTGCATGCTTGCTAGAGGTTGCACTAGTGTAGTGGTGCTCAATCTTTTTGGCTGGTGGGCTGGGTGGACAGTGCCTGCTCCTTTCATGGGCTGGATCCAGCCAGTGGTCCTGATACAGTGCCCAGCACAGGTGCAGCAGGGTTCCATCCAGCTGTGCAGAGGTGGGGGGGAGGAGGGCAGTCTGGCCTCAATTCGGCCCTGTGGGAGGGGAAGACTTAACCTAGTTCCACAGGGGGAGGGGGGTAATCCAGCCCTGATCCAACCATGGGGGGAAAAGGGGTGTGATCCAGGCCACTGCTCAGACCTTAATGTTTGGGAACTTGGCAGTGGAGAAGGGTGGCTGTCTTTGTTGCCACTACCCCCTGCTGCCAAATTTCCTGACCTGTAAGGAGCCCTGCAGGCCAGAGTTTGAGCACCCCTGCACTAGTGTAACTTTCAGTAAAGTATTGCTCCCCTAACTTAAGTAGTTAAATATACAAAGAGTGCATGTACACCAGCTCTAAGTAGCTCTGGTGACACAGGAGCATCAATTGATGGTATTCTAATGCAGGCGCTCGTTTGTTGGAGATTATTATATATCTTTCTTAACCACTGTCTTTGTAAGTGCAGTGTCCGGTACAGTAGGAAGAGACTGGGCCATCACTTGAAAGTTTCTCTTTCAGTTACTTTTTTGGTGTATGGTTGGGCGAAGCCACCTGTCTTTTTTGCACAGTGAAAATGGCTGCTTCCCTGAGATGTATGCCACAGCTTTGAGCCCTAGTATGTTAAAAATGAGGTGGGAGAGGGAAGGCAGGGCACAACAGAGCACGATTGTTAGAATGACACTAGTGGTGTACGCTGAGGTCCAGCTATCTTAACTGTCCTTTGTAAATGGACCCTCAGAGAGAGCCACTCTGAATGGTGTCCTCTTGCTAAAAGCAGCAGGTAGTTCTGAGTTACTGCTTCTTGTGGGTGTGGGAAGGCAGCATCCCTCAGCTCCCTGAAATGTGTAGCTGTCTCCATGTTGCCCATACAGCAACCTGCCTATAATCCTCAAGTCCCCGCATGTCAACTCTACAGCTCGTTCATCTTCCTCACTGTGCTGGGGTGGGGTTTCCCTTCACAGACATTTCTCACCTTCTCCCTGTCTTTCTGCTTCAGTCTGACCAGATGTCCCATCTGGTGAAGATTCCTGGGATCATAATAGCATCAACGCCCGTGAGAGCCAAGGCCACCAGGATTTCCATCCAGTGCCGCAGTTGCCATAACACCATCAACAACATCACCGTGCGGCCTGGGCTAGAAGGCTATGCCCTGCCCAGAAAGTGCAATACGTAAGGACTGGAGGGAGGCGAGGAGTGGGTGGGGGATCCTTTCTGGAGTACAGGAGAAGAGAAGGAGGGGACTTGTTAGAAATCCGGTGGTCCACCCTCCACCTACCTTTGAGTTTCTCTGGGTAGCAATGAATGCTGCATGAATAGTGCACTGTGCTGGGGTCTAATGAGACTCCAGTCATGGTCACAGAGGAACTGCCATCATGTAGGGGGTCTGAGGACTCTGATGACTAACCCAGTTGATTTATAAACCAGAGCTGAATGTGTGGGTTGAAACAAAAGTTTAATTGCCAGAGTTACACGCCTTCTCTGACAATCACCTCATTTCATTTGCCTTTTACCTATCATTCTACCCATGACTTCCATTCCATCAATGCTGGTGACTCTGCTTCTTCTCTCAAGCCTCCCCTCATTGCCTTATGTGTGTTGATCTTCTCTGTTTCTTCTCTACCACCTTGCTGTCCCAGGGTCCACCCTACTAGCCCCCAGGCCCATCTCACTCCAGCTTCCCTTTCCTACACTGCCTACTTGCACTGTAAAGGGGAAGTCCTCGGCAGACTTCCTGGTAGAAATCCTATGACCAGAAAGACTTACTCCACTACACACGTGTTCTCTCCTTCAGGTCTGCCATCTGCTTGGTGTAAGCAGCTTGATTTATCCAGTGTAATTGAATCTTACACCACAAGCCCAGCCACTTGTTCACCACGTGGGCTCATTCCTGTCTCCTATCTTGAGGTCTCTCCACAGGATCTTGCCAGTTCTTTCCAAAGTAAAACTGGCAAAATACTTGTGTTCTCTGTTTGTGTCTACCTGATATGTCTTGGCTTATACGTAGCCTGTAAGATCTTCGGGACAGGGGCCCACCTCTTTGGTCTGTGTTTGTACACTGTCTTGCCTAGCAGGGTCCTCACCCATGACTAGGGGATTGAGGTGCTCTGGTGATACAGTAGCTACCTTAAATAATAGTCATTACTCTTCTTGAGCCTTAAAATGGGACATTTGCCCACAGGCTTTCTTTCTTCAGCAAGTCGGTGTCACAGAAAGCTTTCTTGTTGTTTCACACGTGGTATCAGGAACTTTGTGTCACCCAGCCAAGAGCCTGGCATGGCCCCATGTTTAAAGTAAAATAGACCGTCTTTGTCTGTGAGCACTTTTAGTTTAAAATGACAAGACATCTAAATATAGATGTGTCAGAGGACCAAGAAAGTGGTGCTAGGACTATCAGTATTTCTGATCACTTTGACTCCAGAACCCTTTTGTTGCTTTCAGGTTGTATAAGAGAATGTAAATAAAATTCCTGGTTAAATAACTTAACTAATAAATTACCTTCCCCTGTCTCCAGTCAGTGCAGGATTTTTCCTTTACTGTGGGTCATATTGTGATACCCTTTCTCATACTAAAATCTAGCTTGTATTTTCCCTTAAGAAAAAGACAGACTGCTTTCTTCAAGTATGAAGAGCACCTTCTTTCATTTGTGTTGCCGCCTCATACACTTCTGTCTCTACTTAACTATTGTTTAACCAAATTAAGCATATGCAGGCCTATTTTGCAAGCTTTTCCATATATCAGCCCCCTTCAGGTAGAAATCATTGGGTTGGAAGGAACCTTAAGTGTCAGCAAGTCCAGATTTGTGGCGTCTTTCTCGGACTTCTATTATGTTTCTCTTTCTCCTTCCCTTGATCTCTGTCTTATACTTATGCTGCAGACACTTTGGGGAACAGGCCCTCTCACTACCTGTACATGTGCTGCTTATACAATGGGGCACTGGTCTCTGTAGGCATGTCTACACAAGATGCTATGTCGCTGTACATAGTGTCGGCAGGCGCTAACTGTAATGCTGCTGCTACTGCGCAGTAGCGTCAAAAACGGCTCATGCACTGCCAGGACTGCACAGTACCAACTGCACAGTCAGGGGCAAGTGTAGACATGCCCTGTGGGGCCTATAGGCACTTCTGTGATACAAATAGGGGCTTCCAGTATGCCCCTCTTGCCACTAGACCAGACTTGGTCTCACAGCATGTTGACGTTTTCAGTTACAAATCTGCTTGCTTTTGGAGTTCACAAGGAAGAGACCCTTTTAGAAAGGGGTATAGGACCCTGGGTTATACATTGCTGCTTGCCTAGCTAAAATTAATTAAGCTGGAATAAACAAGAGCAGATTCCTTGGTCAATACACGTTGCATGCAGCAAAGCTAAATACCACTTGCTGACAGTGTCCCCTAAGTTCTAATGACTCCTGACTAGCTTCTGGGACTGATTTCCTTAACTGTCTCCCTCTGCTCAGGGAACAAGCAGGCCGCCCGAGGTGTCCCCTGGATCCATACTTCATCATGCCAGATAAATGTAAGTGCGTGGACTTCCAGGTCCTGAAGCTACAGGAATCTCCTGATGCTGTGCCTCATGGGGAGATGCCCAGGCACATGCAGCTCTATTGTGACAGGTAATCTTGCAGCCCATCTCCCTCTCCTTTTTCAAGGGTCATTTCAGGGAGGGGCAATAGAAAATGTGGCTGTCATAGATGATGGGTTTAGCTGGGTTTGGGTGAATCTGGTGGGCTCTCCCATGTACCCAGCTTCTGGAGAAGGGGCAGGGATTTGGGATCTTTTATTGATCCATATTTGTATAGCTACCTTGCAGAGGTGCCTTGAGGTGTGCTCTAGTCGCAGGCACCATGCAGGGGATGCGGCAATGGCTGCAGGCACACAAGCCCCTGTAGTGGGTGGCGGCTGGGCTTTGGGCCCACCTGCACTTCCAAGCCAGCCCAGGCAGCCGTGGGCATGAAGGACTCATCCTGTGCAGCCGGTCCAGCTGCCCAGGTGCTCACCCACAGCTGCAGTGGCGTTGCCTCCACACCATAGCCCAGCCAGCTGCTGCCCATTCATGCCAGGCTGTCACGGAGCCCCAGCCGGCTGGGAAGGGCCCTGACCCCATGGCCCAGCCCAGTCTGGCCCCACTATCTGCCCTCCTCACCCGAGGTTGAGCAGGGCCAGCTGCAGACACTGCTGAGGGTGGGTGCAGAAGGGTTGGGCCCACAGCAGGGGCATGCCCCTTCCCAACTGGCTGCGGCTCCATGACAGTCCGGCCTGGCCTGGGCGTGGGGAGCGGGAAAAAATCTGGGCACACAGCTCCCACAGCCCCAGCCTGAGCCACAGCCAGCTAAAAAGAACCTGCCCCTGTGGCCCAGCCCAGACGCCCACCCTCAGCAGTGCCTGTGGGCTGGCCTGGCTCAGCTCTGCAGCCCCAGTTGAGGTGAGCAGATGGCGAGGCCATGCCATCCGGCTTTGGTCACACCCCCCATCACGTGAGTGGCCAGTGGGGCAGAAAGCCAGGCAGACCCTGGCTGGGGTCCCCGGGTCTGTGCCTGAGAGGGGAGATGGGAGATTAATCCCCCTCTCTGCCCCCTTCACCTGAGTCTGCTGGGCTCTAGCCACACCCCCCACCACTTGAGCACCCAGCATTGCAGAAAGCTAGGCAGACCCTGGCTGGGGTCCCTGTGTGGGTGGGACAGAGGGGAGACAGAGGAGTTTAATCCCCCTCCCTGCCTCCCCCTTCACTTGAGGTGCTTCCCCATGCCCCCCAACCCTCAGGGGAAAGCCCGGCAAAGCTTGCTTTCCTCTTCCCCTCCAGGCACACCCCAGCTGGGGTCCCTGCAAGCCAGGGTTGGGGTCTAAACACCCCTCTCTAATCATACTTGGCAGCCTGCCAGGGCCTGGCCATGCGCTCTCCCCAGCTCAGCTTCCCTCCAGCCTTGCAGCTGCTGCAGAAGGAAGGGAGAGCTCACTCTAGCACCTCCCCACCCCCCCAGCGTCTAGCCTGCTTTTCCGGAATCAAGTGAGCATCTATTCACTAGAGGTGCACCAATACATTGGTCCCATATTGTATCGGCACCAATATGAGGAAATTTGAGAGTATTGGCAATCAGGTTTTTTTGGCTGACGTGGCCGATTTTAAATGCTGCGTGCAGCCACAGCGCAGCAGGTAGACGGCCAGGAGCACAGCATGGAGAAGAGGCCAGGAGCCAGGAGTGCAGCACGTAGGCAGCATTCAGAGCAGCTGTGTCCAACTGGTAAGTCTGTTGTTGTGGGGGGAGGCGGGGACAGGCAGATCGAGGCCCCTATGGTGAGGAGGGAGTGGGCCTGGGGCAGAGGCAGGTACTGCCCAGGCTGGGCACAGGATGGAACCATGGCTCGTCTGGGATGCGCATGCAGGAGGGGCAGCTCCTGCCACTGTGCGCACCCCAGGAGGGCACAGAGGGGCATGTGGCCCCAGATCTGCATGCAGGGCAAGGGTGGGCTGCGGGCTGGGGCTGGGGAGTGCTGGGCTCTTCCCAACAGGGGCTGAGTCATGCTGCAATCAGGGTGAGCAGCAGAGGTGCTGGAGGGGTGGTCTGGGGGTGCTAGAGCCACCCCAGAATTCACCATAGCCCTGAGCGCAGCTTGGCCCAGCCCCCCACCAGAAAGAGCTTGTCACCACCCCAGCCCATAGCAGCAGCCTGCCCTGCCCCAAGCACAGATCCGGGAGCACGTGCTCCCCCATGCCCTCCCAGTGTGTGCGCAGCATCAGGAGCTGCCCTCCCTCCCTGTGCTCTGTCTTGGCTGGGCAGCACCTGCCCCTGTCCCAGCGCCAGCCCCACTCCCTCTCTCACCGCGGGGACCTTGATCTGTACCCCCGCATGCCCCTTCCCTCCCTCCACCCCTTCCCCCACAACAGACTTACCAGCCAGTCTCTGTCCACACTGCTGGGCTGCATATCGGAATCAGATTGGTATCATCCAATATAGCTTGTTAAAAATCGGCTGTTGGTATCAGCCCAAAAAATCTCTATCAGTGCATCCCTACTGTTCACTTGCAAATTGGTTCAGTCTACATAGGTTAGACTAACCTGCAACAGTTGAATCAATTCAGGCTCATGCTTTTTGAATGTGTGTACTTAGCCCTAGTGACAAGGTACTGTAATAGTGCTTCCTGCATGCTTTAGACACCAGTGTAAGTTTACAAAACCAGTTATAGATTGTACAAAATCAATGTCACTTTGTGACGGTCTTTAACATGTTCTATATCCAGGCCTTTATTTTGGTTGGGCAGGGAGAAGAAGAGATGAAGGGGACGCTCCCATCTTTTTATTACATAAAAATCATCTTCCTCTGCCCTCCTGTTTCTCCTCTAAGGTATCTCTGTGACAGAGTTGTCCCTGGAAACAAAGTTACCATCATGGGCATTTACTCTATCAAGAAATCTGGCCAGACCAAGAACAAAGGCAGAGACAACGTGGGTGTGGGGATCCGAAATGCTTATATCCGTGTGGTGGGGATCCAGATTGACACTGATGGCTCAGGTAAAATCTTCCTTTGGCCCTCCCTGGTTCACAGTTCACCAAGGCATTAGGAGACTATTGTAAGCAAAATTCACCTGGGATCTCCAGCTAGAACTACTTCTTTCTGACCAACCACAGTATGCATGTATCCATACAGCTTTTGTAATAACTATCACAGGCTAGGCTGGGTGGAAGAGAGAAACTTAGTGAGAGGTGCTCCATGTGTACAGTTCTGGGGGGCTTGTGCTCTATACAGCATTTCTCAACCTGTGGGTTGCAAGAATATTTCAAAGGGTCACGAACAAGTGGCAGAAAAATGCAAGAAAGCACGGGTTTCGCCTTGCTGGCTGACAGCGTTCCCCTTGTAGGCTGCGCAGCCTCAGCACTCTCCATGGAGATGGAGGCTTGGTTGCCTCTCTGTGCAGATGCTGCTCCACTCCCGCTGACTGTGCAGAAGTCAGCTTGGGCAGGCAGCTCATTGCAGAACCCTGACTCTGGCTCTCTGGCTGGCTACAACTAGCACTTGGTAATGCCCAGCCCAGGTTGTGCCTTGGGCCTGCTCACTCCCTTCCCCTGGCAGCAGCAGCTCTGGTTCCGTGACAGCAGGGCCCGCCTCATGCCACTAGCCACTTTGTGCTACTAGCCGAGGCCCTGAGGGTGTCTCTGGCAGCCTAGAGCAATGAGTCCCAGCCAGGGACACCCTTGGGTGTGAGGGGATAAATGAGCAGATCAACTAAGTCAAAAAGCACAGGCTCTGGCTTCTCCCAACCTGGGCAATCTGCTATCCCCAGAGCTGGGCCCCTCTGCAAGCAGTTAGGTGCTGGCATCTGTAGTTATGGGGCCATGTAGCCTCAAGTCCAGTGAGGGAGACATGGGAGTCTAGAAAGGTTGAGGACCACTGGCCTAGAGACAAGCCATTTGCCTGGTGAGGCTGAAGTCAGAGAGTTGTCCTTAGCCTTGTTAGTCTGAAGTCAAGCCGAAGGCAGCATGGATTTGCACCTCAGATATATGCACTTTGCCTGGTTTATAAGGTTATAAGGTGCAAATTTATCCTATATATAATGTGTGTATATAATATATAATGGGGGGGGGGGACACAAAGGTGCCTGCTGGTACTGGGCACCGAGGCTGCAGCAGAGCAGGGGACTGTGGCTCAGGCTGGCAGGGCCAGTGGGGTGTGGGTTTGGGACAAGATGGTGATCTTTGCAAATGAATCGTGGTATGAAAAAGGTTGAGAACTACTGCTATACTAAGTAGGGAACTGCTAAAATCCATCAGAGTAAATAAAGGTGCCCTCATTTTTGTTCAGCTGTCAATTCTTCCCCTCACCCCCAAAAGCATGACTTCCTAGGCCAGAACCTCTCTTTGTCCCTCCAGCATGAGCCATCTTCCCACATTAGATGCGGAGCTCCTTTCTCTTTCTTCTCACTTTGGTCACATTTTTCAGAGGCCATTTGCCATCAGCTGAGCCAGCACTGTTTCCTCTTTATTTTAGAACAGAGCAAAGGCATGCAGTTTCCTCATTCAGAGGAGCACACTCGGCTGCTTGTGACAAATTTTCTTCCCTCTTGTGTCTAGTTAATTTAATGCTCCTTTTCCTTGTGACCTTGCTTATAGTCCTATTAAAGTAGTATGGCTAAAGATCCAGACACTGTGTGAGGGAATTGGGTTTTGGAGAAGGATGAAGCAGCCATTCAGGTTTAGTCTGTTTGTTTTGTAATGACACTTCATTCAGTTTTTTTCCTCCCCCCCCCCCCCCCCCCCCCACCTTTTCTTACCCCCCCCCCCCCATCACGTCTTTTAGGACATACTTTTGCTGGCTCTGTGACTCCCCAAGAAGAGGAGGAACTTCGTCGACTTGCCTCCATGCCCAACATCTACGAGACTGTTGCCAAGAGTATTGCACCCTCTATTTATGGGAGCACTGACATCAAGAAAGCAATTGCCTGCTTGCTGTTTGGAGGCTCCCGCAAGAGGTCAGGTGAACGAATTGGGCAGGGCACAGTGGGGCAGAAGTAGACAGAAGGGTATTTGAGGCACACAACTCTTCTAGGGGTTTTATGGCTCCAAACATCTGTATGTTTCTTGTTGGTTTTGTTTGTGCACTGCCAGAATGAACTGATTTCCTTCTCTTGTCTTCTTTGCAGGCTCCCAGATGGGTTAACCCGCCGAGGGGACATTAACTTGCTGATGTTGGGAGACCCTGGCACAGCCAAGTCCCAGCTGCTGAAGTTTGTAGAGAAGTGTTCACCCATTGGGGTAAGTGTCATGGGTGACTGGAGTTCCTTTTTGATACTGATTGCATGTTGAAACAGCTCACTTTTTCTCACGTGGCACTGAGAACAGGAACCAGCTGGAAATACTGGAGATGGTTCATTGTGCAGAACAAAAACCATCTTGAACCTCCACAGCAGTACCTGGTAGGTGGGGTGGGGGGGTTGGATATGCAGACTTTTTCTGCTAAGCAAGAGAGACTTGTAGGGAGTGGGCAAATCTGAGAACAACCCCTGGGACATTCTTACTGGGTCATTCTTCAGAGCATAGCTGTTATTTTGTCGGAATGTTTCACTGAAAGTCTGAAGTCCTGAACTTCTTTCTACCCTGAGGTGTTGTTCAAGCTGTGTTGAGCTGCATGTAACAAACTGAATTAGCAGAGAAGCTAGAAGGTTAGGTGCAGTAGCTTAGACTGCAGCTGTCAGGCACTGAGCTCTAAACGGAGACCAAGCATGAAATTGTTTTCATCCACGTTTGTCTATAGTCTCCATTTAACGCAACCCCTGAGCACCTTGCATCCTCAGAGTAAAACAGACCCCCCACAGCAGCCTGCTAAAACAAGCAGATAAACTATGCTCTACATTTAATGTACTGTCTGCCTACAAGCCATCTAGTGCTTTGCAACTACTTAGCCCAAAGCCTAGTTGCACAAAAATACCTCACTCTGAAGAACGTCAGTCCCTGGCTTCAGTGTAAACTGAGGAAGCAGTAGCCATGGAGCTCCCAATAGCCTATGGCTGATGCTGTGCTGAACTGCGGATGCTGAGCTCTACCTCAAGGTAACAACCTGATGCTGTGGTTCTTTTGTTCCCTTGTTGAGACACACAGGCTCAAGGGTGCCGTGGTTTTTGATGCATTCTCTTTTTGTGCCTCCCTTCAGGTGTACACCTCTGGGAAAGGCAGCAGTGCAGCTGGCTTGACAGCCTCAGTGATCCGAGACCCCTCTTCCCGGAGCTTCTTTATGGAGGGAGGAGCTATGGTCCTGGCAGATGGGGGAGTGGTGTGCATCGATGAGTTTGACAAGGTAGAGACACAGCATGCAGAAGTTTCATAATGCTGACTTGGAGGAAAGGAAGGGAAGGTTGACTGCCATATTGTTTTGCTGTGGCAAGGAAAGGAATAATGCCAGAAGGCAATGGGGGAAGGGGTAATCTTTTCTTTTGGATAGAGGCCTATCTACTGGAGGAACAGGGCATCAAAAGGGGTGCCAGGGAATGCACTTCTGGGATAACTTTTGAGTCTCTCTTCTATTTTTAATGTACTCAAAATTAGTATCCTGGAGGAAGAAGGGAATGTTGGATGCATATGGCTATGTGAGACCCGAGACTTTCTTGGCATTTAATCCCAATTCTGTTGTGAGGTTAAGTCACATGAAAGGTGTACCATTCTACCTTTTTTTCCTTCCCCAAACTTTACCAAGATGCGGGAAGACGACAGAGTGGCCATCCATGAGGCTATGGAGCAACAGACCATCTCCATTGCCAAGGTGAGCTGCTAGCTGGGATAGGAAGTGGAAGAGGTGAAGAGATCTGAGTCTCCACAAGCAAGGTGACCAGCTCTGCAGTTGTGGGCCCTTGCCAGAAGGTGGCCATCCCTCAGGAAGCAGCTGGGTTCCCTGCTCATGTTTGGGCATGGGTGGGTTACTGGCTGGTCTGATCTGAGATCAAGCTTTGCTCTCTGACAGTGTTTTGATCTTACTGATTTTGAGACTTGCCTTCAGACTATCGTACAAATACACACTGGCCATCTTCCTTTGCCTCCCCTGAGCTCCGTTACCATTAGCAGGTCTATGCTCTGTTTCTTCCTCCCTTCCTCCTCACCTCTGTTCCTCCTGCTCTAAACCTTGATTCTGTTGTTCAGATAATTTTTCTTCTCCATGTTACATAATATCCAGACTGCATCTGTTCTCTTTGTCTTCATCGTTTAGCCCTTTGTAATAGCATTCCTTCTCATCCTGGGCATCTCTGACTCATTGTTTACCTCTTAATTCCTTACAAAACACCCTGGTGAACACAGTCCTTCTGTACTCGCACTGCATCTGCCCCTCTTGAGTTCCATTGTCTGGCTTGCCCTTGCAAAGTGAATCCAATTTCTGCTCTTCTCCTTTGCTGCCCAGCCTGCCTCAGTTCATCTTTTGGGTTTGTCTGAATGGTGTGACTGGCTTCCCCTTTTGTATCTTTCAGGCCTCTTTCCTTGAGTTCTCTTAAGCCTCAAACATATTCTTCTCTTGCACTTTCCCTCCATCTTCTCCTTGTCTCCTCTTGGGGAAATAGTGAGTTCTCAGAAATGTCAAGCCCTAGAAAGTAGCTGCAGCTATCCAAATAGTGTGAGTCACCTGGGCTAAACAGTACCCACTGCATGGCCATCGTGTGCTGCTTGGTTCTCATTCCCTAACCTGCAGGTAGTTGGCTTACATGGTAGACACTTCAGGTCAGGTGATTTGTTTCTACCTGCCCATATAGCACCTATTGCTCTGAGGGCACTGTGTATTAATTATGGCTCAAGCTTTGGGTAACCTTGGTCAAGGAAAGCTCCGTGAGGCTTACGTAGCTGAATAATCCTTCCCTCATGCTGTTAACCCTGGGAACTTCTTCCAATATTGAACCCTCTTGGCCAGTTGGAAAACACTTACACCGCCTTATGTAAAGACTGGTGTCTGTAAGGTTGAAAGTAGGAATCCTATGAACGAACCTAGGCCCTTGCCTGTAGAGTAGGGGAAATGGTGAAATGTCCTTCCCCTACCCCATCATCCATCCCAGGAAGCTGCTGGTAACCCCAGTATCTTCTGCTAACAGCTTGGTGATTGTGTTGATAAGCTCTTGGTTCTGCCCCCTCAGGCTGGTATTACTACCACTTTGAATTCTCGCTGCTCGGTACTCGCAGCTGCCAACTCAGTCTTTGGACGCTGGGATGAGACCAAAGGGGAGGAAAACATCGACTTCATGCCCACAATCCTGTCCCGGTTCGACATGATCTTCATTGTCAAGGATGAGCACAATGAGGAGAGAGACATGGTGAGGGCCAGAACTGGTCTTGCTCAGTGGAGGGAGGTGGAGGGACAAGAAGACAGCAGGCTGACCAACTAGGAGTTTGCCCAGCTGCAGCATTGAAGCTGAACATGTGACGAGGACAAGGAGGAAGGCAAGGGTCCACCTTCCTGCCCCAGTGTGCCTGGTGTCAAGCAGTTATTTGACCCAAGGTGTGTCAGTCTCTGACTTCTAAGCTGGGACCTGTTGCCCTGCTTTAGCAAGCCAAGCACCAAATAGTTTAGCCCTAGAGCTGGGGAGAGGAAAAGTAGTAGGATTATGTCTTCCAGGATCTGCCAAAGGTGTTTTCTGTGGTGCCTAGCTCTGCCCACAGAGATGCTGCTGCTTCCTGCCAGAAAAGTGGTAGGACCCAAAGACTTGAGGTGGAGGTTGAGAACAGCAGTGCCCATGTACTGCCCTGACTGGCTTGTTCTCCCTTACCCGGGGTGAATGTCTAGATCATGCCGTGAGTGAGACAGTGTTCATTGTTCAACAGTCTCCCGTGCTCTACTCCTAGATACTGGCCAAGCACGTGATGTCACTACACGTGAGTGCCCTGACACAGACCCAGGCTGTGGAGGGTGAAATCGACCTGAACAAGCTGAAGAAGTTCATCTCCTACTGTCGCACGTAAGTGTGTGGTAGCCTTGTGATGCTGCATCAGAGCAGCAGAACTGCTGGCAGGTTACACAGCATGACCTGCTTGGTGGTGCCATGCTGATGCACTTTCATTTGGGACTTTGGGTTGCTCCCAGCATTCCTGGACCCTGGTCGCTTCATTTGACTTCATTGATCTTGGCCTCAGGCTGACCCAGTTCTTCAATGGAGCTGGCAGAATTCCAGCTCTCCAGTAAGCCCCCAACACAGCAGGTCGCTCACTGGGGATCACAACCCCAAGCAGAGTTGCAGCAGTGGGGAAGTGGAATTGTGAACCTATTTTAATCTTTCCAACCCCATAGTTACTCCATGAATAACGAGACAAGGATTTACCACATACCACAGCTGCTCTGTGGTAACTGCTTCTGTGCCTGCAGTTGACCCTAAAGTAGGTGAAAGCTGGACTGAGACAACTAAGCCCTGTTTCACTTGGGTGTAAACTGCTCTGGTGTAGTTCTCATGCAGGGACAGTTACCACAGAGCAGCTGAGGTTCAGTAAATTCCCACTCATTGTTAGCTGTGCATATGTGAGCAGCAGTGACTGCATGTTGGGGTTGCACCAAATTATCTGACTAAAAGTGGGGTCACAATGGGGAAATGCCTGGCAACTACTGCCCTAAAAAGATCAGTCCTTTTCTAGATCCCAGTGACATTATGGTCACCCCTAATCTCTGTTTAAAATTGTCACCCAAATGAAGCTTTATTTTTTCCCAATGGAGTTGAGATTAAACTAGTCTGGATTTTCAGAAATCTGTTCTGGTTTGCTGTGGAAGACGGAGAGCCCCCTTGACACTGTTACAGTGTGAGCAGGGGGCTAACCTGGTGCCTCGGCCCCAGAACTTGCTGGTTTATGGAGCTTCCCCTTCCCTTCTCACAGGAAATGCGGCCCTCGCCTATCAGCAGAGGCTGCTGAGAAACTGAAGAACCGCTATGTCCTGATGCGTACTGGTGCCCGGCAGTATGAGCGAGAGAGTGACCGCCGATCCAGTATCCCCATTACAGTCCGGTGAGGGCAGAGTCCATCTGGGTTCAGGGAGAGAAGCAAAAGGAATGTGAATCCCAGGAGCTTTGAGTAACACTGCAAAAGGAAAATGGCTCTTGTCCCAGTGCCACACAATCACCTGGAGTTTGGAGGAGGCTCAGACTGATGTCCAGGCCTGCACTGAGTTAGACCCTACTAAATCCACCTGAGCTAGGTCTTCTAAGAGCTTAACTTCAATAGACGGCAGCTTCTCTCCTCTGTTCCCACCTCTGCCAACTTGACTGTCCTTAAGGTTATTTCTTCCAGCCCAAGGGTCATGCAATTGATGTCCTTTTATTTACCGCCACCAAGAGCTTTACAGGAAACAGCCCCAACTATGTGTTTGTCAGTGATGCAGAGATGGTCTAGACTGCAGTTTGGACCCTATTCTCTGGCAAGCAGAGAAGGCTGCCTCTGGTTAGAATTGCTTTTCCTATTCTATCTCTACCATATAATGGTGGTCTGAACTATCACTGTGTCTGCTTAATGCTAGCTTGGCTCGACCATCCAGTGCTCGGGAAGATCTTGGAGACACTGGGAGTTGGCAGTGACAGGCCTGGGCTCTGGAAGCTCTCTCATATAATGGTAGCATTCCATTTTGTAGGGGTGAGAGTGTGAGGGATAGGATGCCCTCTTCCTGAAAGGATCACTGACCACCCTAGCACTGCCTCGGGGATGCCTGCAGTGAGCACTTTGTGGCTTGAGGAATCCCCTGACCAGTAAATAGAAGCGCAAGGGAGTAGAGGACCCACAATAACCGCATTTTAAAGGGCTTCTCTCTTTGGGCGGCAGGCAGCTGGAGGCCATTGTGCGAATTGCGGAGTCCCTCAGCAAGATGAAGCTGCAGCCTTTTGCCACCGAGGCAGACATTGAAGAAGCCTTGCGGCTCTTCCAAGTGTCCACTCTTGATGCGGCCATGTCAGGCAGCCTGTCAGGTGAGGCAGACCAGGAATGTGTGCAACCTCCATTCTCACACAGAAGCTTCTGTGGTGAGGTCTTCTGGGAAAACAAACAAATGCCACCTCTCCAGTGTGGTGCTGCGTGGGAGGAGAGGGGGGAGGCCTGATGGTGACCCTAACCCCTCTCTCCTGACAGTGCTGGGTGGCCATGAATGCTCTTCAAGAGAGGTAGAATGATGCATCTGGCAGCCAGGGCTCCTCATTTATTTTGAGGCATGCCTAGTTGCATGGTCATGGTCCAGAGGGAGGGTTAGGCAGTGACAAATGCACTTATGTAATTGGGGAGGGAGCTTAGACTCTCATAAGTGCCCTGGAAAAGGAAATGGCAAAGTCTGGGTGCTACCTAGCTCGGAAAAGTAAGTCCAGGATGGGTGGATTATAAAGGCCAGATTCCCCAGTGAAGCCTGGATTTGTGTAACTTTTCCTTTTGAGCATGCTGTTATTGTTGAAAATAGTGTTTGTTACCTGTTAGGATTTGCAGAGGGGTCTGACTCTTTTTTAAGCTGTGATGATGACACCTCAATTTGAATGTGGAAGTGGAGCTCAGTAACTAGTGAAGATTTCTCACCTGTGGGATTGCACTCCGCCTCTTTCATTTGGTGTGGGTAGGGCTGAACTGGAGGTTACATGGAGAGTGAAACTTTCAAGGATCTCATCGAGTATCTTTTCCATAGGAGCAGAGGGCTTCACAACCCAGGAAGACCAAGAGTTGCTGTCCCGAATTGAAAAACAGCTCAAGCGCCGCTTTGCCATTGGCTCTCAGGTGTCAGAACACAGTATAGTCCAGGATTTTGTGAAACAGGTAGGTCCACTGGACAGGGACTTTCCTTGGTGGGGCAGTCTAAAGGGCTATGAGAACAAGTGGCTGACTGCAAGACAACTTAATAGTCTGGAGGCTCCTTTTCTAAAATGTGAATAGGGCCCTTCTGGTGTTTGTGTGAAACCAGAAAGGCAGGGGCTGGTTGGCATTCTGGGACAGTGGGGAGTAGATATTCTCCACTCTTGAATACTGTATATGGGGCTTCTTGATGCGTCTCAGGAACCCAGAATACCTGACCACAGCTCTGGGTCCTCCTGTACCTTCCATTCCAACCAGAAAAGTTGGAATTATAATAGGATGAACTGAGAAGAGTTTCTCCTGTACTACAAGACCCCCCCCCC